ATGCTTTTGACGACTGTGAATTGGTTCCTCTGTCACGTTGCTCAGCATGTCCATGTAGTAATGTCGGACACTTATCGCCATGCCAGCTTTTGCGAGTGTGTGAGTCGAAACCCAAACCCCAAACCCTAAACCCCCCTCCCCAAAAGACTTCCGCTCTGTGCCTTGCCTCGCCTGGCCGAGGTGCACTTCCTACGGCCCGGCCTGGAGACGGTACCCTGGCTGGTGTGGCGAGATGTGGGGGTTTCTGAAAATAGGGGACCCTAATATAGTACCCTAAATAGTAGAATCCCTATTATAAGGACCCCAAAATAAGGTACCCCTTGTTTTCGGAAACTCCCATGTAGTTGCAACAGCTGGCTTGTCCGGGTGTTGCCATGACGAAGCCATCAATCCTTAGCTTTCGCGAATGAAAACAGCAACAACAGTAGTAGTAGTAGTAGTAGTAGTAGTAGTAGTAGTAGTAGTAGTAGTAGTAGTAGTGGTCATGACGCTAACAAGAACTATAGTCATACTAATAGCAATACGGAAATTCAGATTAACATTAATGCTGATGCTACTGACGCAATAATATACTGGTGCTTATAATACTACCACAGTAGCCCCTTGTCAATGTCATGGTTGAGGGGGCTTTGCTTCGCGAGGAGTCTCTGCTTGGAGTCGTCAGCGCGTCGGACCGGAAGCTTACATGGGTGCCCTGTCTGTGGTTTAGGGTTTCGTTTTTGGGTTTAGGGTTTACGGCGAAGTGGAAAGCCTGTTGCAAAAAAGGGTTTAGGGCCTAAAGTTTAGGGTTGAGGGTCGCAAGCCTGAGTGAAGTTGCTGCTGTGGTGTACTCCACAGCAACATTCTAAGCATCGAGGTCCGTATACTACACCCCTATAGCCTTATAGCCATGATAGAACCCCCTACAAGAACTCGTAAAGTTGTAAAGGAGCCCTCTTCTACTTGTTAAGACCCCCCCCTTCTTAAGTTTAGCGCCCGGTTAAAGAATTCCCAAGGAGTCGCTCCAGCTCCAGCCGAACAAGACCTACTCGTTCCAGGCTTGGCATCGCGAAAGAAAACATAAAGATTCACATAGCATATATATATACACACAAACTTGTAGCTGTATTTATAATTAGATGTATACTCGACTAACATGTGTGTTTCCATGTATATTTCTGTTTGTAGGTTCATGCATGCTTGTGCTGGTCTTTGTTAGAGTCCGTATATGGACAGGACTCTGAATGATGCTTGGCCCCTTCCAGGTCTCCTTCGAGGTCGAACTTCCAGAGCCTCACTTTTCGACCCCCAGCTTCTACCTTGAGCTGAGCCTCGGCTTAGGGTATGGGGTTCAGGGTGCAGAGGAGTGAGGTTCATACTTCAAAACCAGCTACGGGATGGTGTAGTGAAGTGTAGCAGTAGCGCCTCCAAACTTATGTCTTGCTCAAGAGAGGAAAAGGACTGACATAGGTAGACTTATGTATACATACATGTAGACACACATACATGTTCATACATACATGTACACACAGACGTACATATGCATGCACACCCACATATATATATATATACATGCATATGCCCATATACATACATACATACATACATACATACATACATACATACAAACACGTACACACAGAATCACACACACACACACGCACACCACACACTCTCTCTCCCCTTTTATATATATATATATACATACACGTGTAACATGTATACATAGTACACACACACAGCAGCGCATACATATACATCGCGGATGTTTCTTTCTATGCATATGCACACATCGACATTCGCATAACAACGGCATCAAGGGTGATTCGCAAATCTTGAACAAAATTGGATAACGTGTGCTTGAGTAGACCATACTTCTGGTAGGAGATATCAGCAACTCTGGAAAGTAGCAGGCAGCTGATCGACAAACGAAGGCAGTAGACCGAAATAATGTAGTGGTCCTGGCACAGGCAAAAGTATTGGCAGAGAGAGGCTTGATCGAAACGCCCCGGCCGGCCCACAGAGGACCTCCCAGTTATCTAGACTAAGCCACCCGGAGCCTCGCCTGCTTTGTCGAGAGTGCGTGCCAAAAAGAGTGTGACTGAAGAGGAATGGGAATTGTGGCTTTCACATTGAAAGCCACGATATCTCAACCTCACACCAGAGATGACAGTAGCAGTGGAGCCACTATGCAATTTCCTCCTTGCTACACATATTCCCCCCCGTAGTCCATGTAAGTTACTATACTATCCCCAATCTCAACCACATTCTCAAAACAAATTGTGCCCCGTTATCGCCCGCACGCCGATAGGAACTTCAATGAGCCACTACCGAGACGCTTCGGTGTCGCAGCCCTGGTGTCACAACTGCAGGATGATGGCAGGGCATTCGCGTTTGGGCTTTTGGCAGGGTTTAGGGTTTAGGGTTTAGGGTGGGTTCGTAACGTTTCGGTTTTCCAAGGTTCAAGCTTGAGGGTTGCTGGGACTTTGGTGGTAGTCGCAGGTTCGGCTTGGGAGCCTCGACGATCCAGGATCAAGTCTGCTTTTCAGACTAATCCCGCAACTTCAACGCTCAACCACAAAAATCCAAACCCCAAACCCCAAAAAGCCTAAACTCCTAAGCCCTAATAATAATCTCGCAACACCAAGAAAGCTTTAAAGCTTAAACCCTCCAAAACCCCCAAACATTAAACGAGTATTAGAAGGAATAAGGTTACAGTGAGTCTTAGGTTAAAGCACTTTTCCCCATCGAGGTCCCAACACACAGGCTCATCCTGGCAAGGAATTCTAGATTCTAGCTGTGCGCAGTCGGAAAAGAGCCCTTAAGAAACAAAAAACACTGGCTAAACCCGAAACCCCAAACCCTCCAAAAAACCCTAAACCCTAAACCCCTTTTTGTTGCTAAGTAGGAGGCAAAAAAAACACCTTTTTTGCATCAGGACTTGTGCAATCGCCGGAATGTCTGAGCCTACAGAAGTTCAGCTCAAACCCCTAAAATCATCTAAAATCTAAACCCCAAACCATCCCAAACCATCCCAAACCCGAAAAGTACAAAACCCCCAGAGCAGCTCCCAAGGCTTTGCCGCCTTTGCGTGCTGTGCTGGGAGCCGGAGTGGAGCGCCGCAGCAGAAAATGTCGGGTGGAATTTCACTTTTCTTTAAAAGTATAGTAGACCTAAGCCCTTAAACCCGAAACCCCAAACTATAAACCCTTGTTATACTGAACTTAGCAATGCTCGGAATGCCCAGGTGCAGCTCTCGCTGGCCGGGCGACGCCTCCAACACAATCACTTTCCGCTTCCGTTTGGCCTCTCCTTTGGCCGCTGGCGCAGCTCGCAGTAATCTGTGGAATTTAAGGCTTTGTTCTGGCAGATATATACAGACAGCTTCATTTGGTGAGAATAAGGACAGCGCTCTTGTCATCCAGGCAGACGCATTTGGTCCGCGGCTCTTCTGTCCACTGCTGTCGGAGCGAAGTGCGAAGAACAACAGTGGCAGCAGTTTGATTTCATACTCCAGTGGCTGTCGTAAGATCTCCTGATCGAACACGGGTGAACGTGTTTCAGCCATGCCTCCCACTCTTTGGTCTGGGCTCGCAGGAGCTGCGAGCATCTGAGTTCGGCTTCGGTGTAACACGGGCTCTGCCTTCTGACACTGCTTGTGCCCCCGGCTGCATAGGTTGAACGCCTTCGTCGTGCGCAAAGCATGATACCTCGTGATCGTGATCTTGACGACGCACGAAACATGTCAGGTGTAGTTCCGCACGACCGAGCTGAGCTAATGATTGCATGTACCAGATGTTATGACAATCAACAACAACGATCGGAAGACACAGGGTTGTAAACTTAGATTCTTGGATATACCAGGTGCTGACTCTGGAATGTGAACATGCAGAGGAAAACTGAATCGGGAGTACACAGGACACCACATTACAAGCAGAAGCGATGGTGTGGCAGGACAACACACAACCGACAAACCCACCCACCAACCAATCCACCCACCCACCAACCAACCCACCCACTCTCCGAGCGAACCGAACAACGAACCAACCAACCAAAAAACCAACCAACACACAGAGTGTGTGTCGGGTTTCCAGGTATCCATGTATACTACTACTACTACTACTACTACGACGACTACTAGTACTAGTACTAGTACCAGCACCAGTACTAGTACTAGTACCAGTACTAGTACTAGTACTAGTACTAGTACTAGTGCTAGTACTGGTACTAGTACTGGTGCTACTGCTAGTACGAGTTCTAGTACTAGTACTAGTACTAGTACTACTACTACTACTACTACTACTACTACTGCTGCTGCTGCTGCTGCTGCTGCAGCAGCAACAACAACTACTACCGCTGCTACTCCTCCTCCTCCTCCTACTACTACTACTACTACTACTACTGCTACTACTACTACTACTACTACTACTACTCCTACTACTACTTCAAGGACTACTACAAGTACTACTACAAGTACGACTACAAGTACTACTACAAGTACTACTACAAGTATTACTACAAGTATTACTACAAGTACTAGTACTACTACTAGTACTACTACTAGTACTACTACTACTACTACTACTACTACTACTACTACTAGTAGTACTACTACTAGTACAGTACTACTAGTACAGTACTACTACTAGTACTACTACTAGTGCTTGTACGACGACGACGATGACTACGACCGCTGCTATTTCTATTTGTTTCTATTGGTTTCTCTTTCTAAATACCGACTGTTTTTGATCAGCGAACTAATCTGAGGTGAAGCTGGAGCACTTGGGCTCGGCGGCCTTCCCGCTTGGCGACTCTTGGCCCAGAAGCCCGAAGTTGCAGCACTGGTAAAAGTAATACTAGCAGTAATGATAATGGTAATGGTAATAGTAATAGCAATAAGAACAGTAGTATGGAGGAGTCCCGGGGCGGGATAGGTTGATATCCAAAGCCTCGCAGGAATGGAAATCGCAGGATCATTTTCTGCTCGGCCGAGGCCTGCTTCCTCGCCAGGGCATCGAAGCGGGTAGCTACGCACTCAGCGGACAAGGTTGGACGACTCGGAGAAGTTGGGAGGTTGGTGTATGGCGATGTTCGTGGTGAGGGCTGAGGGTTCAGTTCTGCTGCAGGACGCCCGAACAAGGACAAGTTAATTCTAGGCATACCCACACGGAATTTGAGGGACAGGCCTCGTCCGTTTCGAAAGTCGAGCTTCATGCTCCTGCGTGCAGGTTCGAACCCACTCGCTCCGATCGGCTTCGCCGTGGCTCGGCATTCCTGCCATAAGCAGTCCACGTGTGGGTACAGCAGCCTGTGCTGGCATGCGCGTGCTGAAAGGTGAACTGGACCATCCGCATGTACCGCAACGTGTCAGGACGGTTTCCGGAGCCTGCAGTGGGACCCAAGATGCCCACGTATGCTCAATTCCCCTCATAGGAGAGTTCTGGACTGGAGCCGTTCTCGCTGCTCCGGGCCTTGCTCCTGGATGTTTGCTCCTTTCGAAGCTGCCCTTCGCTGCGATCCTGGGGGCATCCTCCTTTGACGCACGGCCGCGGCGCCCGAATCAGGCAGGTCGAAGTAGGCAACCCAGCTCCCTCCCTCCCTCCCTCCCT